TTTTGCTCATGCAAAGAACTTCCCGTACACAAACCAGCCAGTGGGTTTGTGGCACTCCCTGAGACTGCTTTGCCCCTGGACCCTGTATGAACAGCTCAGCTTTCTTTTCCTGCAACTGGAGTGTTTAAAAGGTGGGAGAGCTACTAAAAGGGTAGCGTGCTGTTTTTCTGTGGTTGCTCACTTCACTGAGTGAGCAGAGCTCAAACTGGAAACTTCCTCCCGATCACCTCGTACAAATGGCGCTGCTAGAGCAATGCTTTCAAAGCTCATCATGGTACACGGTGTTTGCATGTGTAAATAGGAAGTTTTCTGGTAGGTTCATTGCAACCAGCTTTCAAAACTTGCCCTATCATATCTAAATAATTTTGAGAAGCTTTGGGATAAAAGGTACTGTACTTATGTATGGGGTTTTTGATAACAGAACTCAAGAATTTCAGAGTTATGGCCCACAGCAACTGTAGCTCATCACTTTTATTGCACCTATATGTTACAGCATTAAATTTAACAGTATGTCTATTATTTAATAAAGCTACAAGTGTTCAGCTTGCCTGAATTATGGGTGCTGTATGAGCATTATAACTTTAACTCCCCTGACTTTTTCTCAGTTAAAGACACCAACCTTAACATTATACTACCATATTTTATTTAGTGCATTACAGATTAATTCACTAATTTATTTTAATGAGAAAAGGCACAGATCTTTAACGAAAGCACAATGAATAAAATATTAAACAGATTAAAGTGCATGTCCTCTGAGAATTTACAGATTCTCTACATACTCTAACTTAGATATCTCATATCTTCCTGAAAACTGATTGGAAGTACACTGTTATAGGTTTTAAACTTCTGACTGAAGTCTGAGCATGTCATCAAAATGTCAGCAGAGCTTGATTTTACTAAGCCCATGTTAACTTCTTTTTTGTACATGAGTGCTTTGAAAAGTCACGGTTTTACAGTTGACAGGCAGGAGCTGTAGGTTCCAAAATGTATGTGAGAGGTGTTATGAATAGAGATTGTATTTTTGTTGTTTGATGATGCTGTAGGCCTAGAAGCAATGCAAGAGTCAGACCTGAAAAAAAAACAAACACATTATTCTCTCTCTGTGTCGTAAGTGGCTGGTGGAGGAGTGTGAAATGTTCCATGCTCTTCTATGTCAAGAATCAGAATCAAAACTGCTACCAACTACTATGTGAATTTGTACTTTACCAACTTACACACACCAGAAAAGCACATTACCAGCTTTCCAGATCTGGAGTATAGGCATAAATTTAAAAGCCACAAAACTGAAACATTGCACACTTTTTCTTTTTTTTTTGGATGTGGAAACTTATCAGTGCCGTATATTCAATCCTGTTTCTCCAGTGGGTTCTGTTAATACTTGGCACTCTCAGTCTATAATACTCCAGTTCTTAGTAGAGTCTTCCCTTTTTCTAGAGGGATATTTTAAGTGGTTTTAAGTGTATTTATTCAATTATTTCCTATAGATACTCAATTCTGCATGCCATTGTTCAGTAAGAAAACTGGACTTTGAACTCCTCCTGCTTTAAGTAACTTATATTCTTGAAGCCCAGGCAAATATCAAAAAAGAAAAAAAAGAAAACAAAAACAAAGGAAATAGAAACAGCAACAAAGTTCGTGTGCTGCTGGAAGAATGTTTCACAGGAGGAGTTACCAGAGTCATTAACTAAAGGATATTTAAAGAAAATATGGGATTTTACTTTAAAAAGGCAAAAGGAAAGAATTGGTTAAATAAAACAAGGAGCAGCTGAGAAGGAAGTCAGAGTACTGAGAAAGAAGACCGAGTCATAAGAAGAAATGTTGCTAAAGATACAAACTAGAGTACCTTTCCAGGATTAAATATTGAGTCCTCTGAGGAAAATATCAAAGCTCCAAGTGAGTTTATCGAGGCCAGACTTGAACAAGAGAGATCTGTGAGAAAAGAGAGAGCTTAGATTGAGCACAGGAGGAAAGAAGGACTTGTTTGAGCCTGGAAGTTCAAGGGAGGACGCAAATCATGACATCAGTAGCAGGGAAAGAAGAGTCAGTGAAGGAAGAAAGTTGGCAAGGTTTTGGTCTTGAAATCAGTGGGAAACAAAGCAATGGCGTGGCTTATGAATAGTTTGGTTAATTAATTAGAACTAGTAATAAGCCCATGAATGCTTAGGACCATTAAATATCTTTATTCCTTTGTACAGCACAGTGGTTTTGGATTGCAATCTATAGCAGCATAGATTGATAAAATGCCCTAAAACTTTGACCTTCATTGAGAGAAACATTTGAAAGGACTTGTAACTTTTGGATTTAGGCTTATGTTTTTTAGTGGGAATCAACATCTAAGCTGTTAAAAAACAGTCCAGCGTTTCAGTTTTGGTTGTCTAAACAAGCTGGAATGTAAATGCTGTGGCTGAATTTTGGGAAGCAATGGATACACAAGATACTCAGCAGACGTTAAATATTGTTGAAGAACAAACTTTCCATAGAAAAGAGACACTCAGTGATTATCCTGGTAAATGTTAGTATTCATAAGCTGTAGAACAAATTTTAGCAGGCCAGATTTGAGACTGCTTGTTTAATATGCGTTTCCAAGGGGAAATAAGGGTTTCCAAGCATTTTGGCTATAGTTTGCTTTATAGAGTTGATTTGCTACTATAGAGTTGATTTACAGAAAAGTAGCAAACTAAATATTTACAACTACTTTTATTTAAATCTAACACAAAATATGTTTTACTAAAAAGCCATTTTCCAGTTTCACCTTCACTATAAAAATAGAGTTTCTGAAAAATAACTTCAGGACAACTCCTTCAAGGACCCTGCTCCACTGCATGCTATTTCTGCTGTTACAGGAAAGAGTAGGGTGTTGGTTTACAATGGTTAGAAGCCCAAAGAGCAGAGGAATGGAGAGGATGGTTGGGCAAGAGCATCGTGGTCTTGGACTGTCCTCTGCTATGTCCCAAAATCATCTTTTCGTCTTGAGGGCACACACAGGGCATGTGCAGGATAACAAAGGGATCAGGCCCAGCCAGCATGGGTTCATGAAAGGCAGGTCCTGCTTGACCAACCTGATCTTGTTCTTCGACCAGGTGACCCACCTAGTGGATGAGGGGAAGGCTGTGGATGTTGTCTGCCTCTACTTTGGTAAAGCCTTTGACACTGCCTCCCGCAGCATTCTCCTGGAGAAACTGGCAGCTTGTGGCTTAGACAGGTTTACTCTTTGCTGGGTAAAGAACTGGCTGGATGGCCGAGCCCAGAGAGTCGTGGTGATTGGAGTTAAATCCAGTTGGTGGCTGCTCACAAGTGGTGTTCCCCAGGGCTCGGTTCTGGGGCCAGTTCTGTTTAATGTCTTTATCAATGACATGGAATCAAATGCACCCTCAGCAAGTTTGCAGACAACACCAAGTTGAGCAGGAGTACTGATCTGCTTGAGTGAAGGAAGGCTCTGCAGAGGGATCTGAACAGGCTGGGTAAATGGGCTGAGGCCAACTGTATGAAATTCAACAAGGCCAAATGCCAGGTCCTGCACTTGGGTCACAGCAACCCTATGCAACACTACAGGCTTGGGCAGGAGTGGCTGGAGAGCTGCCCAGCAGAGAAGGGCCTGGGGTCATTTGTCAACAGCCATCTGAACATGAGCCAGCAGTGTGCTCAGGTGGCCAAGAAGGTCAACAGCATCCTAGCCTGTATCAGAAATAGTGTGGCCAGCAGGAGTAGGGAAGTGATCATCCCCCTGTACTTGGTCCTGTGTTCGGTTTTGGGCCCCTCACTACAAGAAGGACGTTGAGGTGCTGGAACGTGTCCAGAGAAGGGCAACGAAGCTGGACAGTGAAGGGTCTAGAGCACAAGTGTTATGAGAAGCAGCTGAGGGAACTGGGGTTGTTCAGTCTGGAGAAGAGGAGGCTGAGGGGAGACCTCATCACTCTCTACAACTACCTGAAAGGGGGTTGTGGTGAGGTGGGTGTTGGTCTCTTCTCCAAAGTAAATAGTGATAGAACAAGAGGAAATAGCCTCAAGTTGCACCAGGGAGGTTTAGACTAGCTATTAGGAAAAATTTCTTTACTGAGAAGTCAAGCATTGGAACAGGCTGCCCAGGAAGGTGGTGGAGATCATCACATCACTGGAAATATTAAAAAAATGTGTGGACATGGCACTTCAGGACATGGTTTAGGGGGCATGGTGGTGTAGCATTGATGGTTGGACTTGATGATCTTCAAGGTCTTTTCCAACCTTAATGATTCTATGACTCTGTGAAAATCTCATGAATGCACATTCCTGGTGTTCCAGGTTTCCAATGCAAAGAATGGGCAGCACTTACTTCAGATCAAGAGAAATAATGCACATCAACAAGAAGAAAAAGAAGTGAATAAAGAGTTGTATGACTCAGACACTTAGACTAACATCATTCAAAAGGAGCATCCCTGCAAGCTGGCGGGTGTTCAGTTGCACTAATTATGCTACAGAAGCAAAAGTAGTATAATTTCACACTTGTAAACCTGCTTTTTTGATGACTAGTACATAGCTCCACTAATTTAAAATATATCTTGAACCAAAATCATTCTGGTGATTGTAGCCATGCACACTCAGTCTGAAAATACTGTGATTTAGGGATTCATATTTCATCTTTTCTGCCTCCTCAAAGGTGTTCAATATGTTGTCCTGAACCAAGAGTACCCTGATCTCATTTGTAAATGTCTTGAATAAAAACAGTAGTCACAAAAAAAACAGATTTATTCAGCCCAGTATTAGACCCACCTGAGCATGTTTGCTTGAAACTTCCCAGATGACTAGTGGAAAATAACAACCAACTCCAGAGGTGCTTGTGACTATGCAGGGGGAGAAGTGGGCCTCCACTGCAAACAGCAATGCACAGTCAAATGGTATTGAGGATGAGTCCTTGGCCATGAGAGTTTTTGTTACAGCTCTGTTGTGGCTTAGTATGGTCAAATCTTGCTGTGCAATTACATCAGGGAAAAGTGTACTTAAGGGAATTGTGTTTATCACTTCAGGTTCCTCAAGATGAATGGACTGGATACACTCCACGAGGGAAAGATGATGAGATACCCTGCCGACGAATGCGTAGTGGCAGTTACATCAAAGCCATGGGGGATGATGACAGTGGAGACTCAGACACAAGTCCGAAGCCATCTCCAAAGATCGCTGCACGGAGAGAGAGCTATCTCAAGGCCACCCAGCCGTCCCTTACAGAGCTCACCACCCTCAAGTAAGTCAGTGTTACACTACATCATAGAGAGCTCTCCATTAAGATACACATTTTCTGTTCTTATTTGATCCTACACTTTACTTCTAGGTATCATTTAAGGAAAGTATTTTTAAAAGTGTGTTTGGTCATGCATATTTTTGTTTTGTTTTTTTCTGAACAAGGGTAGATTTGGGTATGTATTTCAATGTTATTCTGCAAAGGGACCCTACTGCCTGAGCTTTGAATTCACAAAGTATTTCAACCTGTTAGCGTTAAGTGAGTATTCAGGTATGTACAATAGGTTTGTTCTTTAAATACTTTTCCTGAATTATAGCTTTGGCCTGCGGAATCTTTATGTAATTGTGTATTTATATAAATTCAACATGTGAAATTAGCCCTAAGCTAGTCTTTGCAACTCATCAGAGAGCATATGACATTCAATTAAAAAGAACAATGACTGTCTGAAAATAGACAAATCCATGGTTTCTGCTTTTTAGTTCACTCAGAATTGCACTGGGTTTTTGTGGAGAAATATAATCAAAAAATAATATTTTTTTAGCTATTTATGAAAGCTCTAGTCAACAGGAATGATAACTTCATGTTTTTTTAATGTCATTTTGTATTTTTGTTTATTTGGGCCCTTTAAAAGAGCCCAAATTCTCATGAAAATGGACAATTTTGGTCTTAGTGTTTTATTTTAAATGATTCTAAAATGGAGAGGTCCCCTAAAGCAAGAAAATAAATTATATCCATAAAAGAAAACAGTGTGGATTTTAATCAATAATTGTTTCTGTCTGTCTTCTCCAAGATTCATAGCTATAATAGTGAATCATAGTTCACTGAACCAAAAATAACCTAATTTTAGTATAACTTGCCTAAGGCTGTTGCTTTAAAATGGAAAAAAAAAGAGCTGTATCTCTTCTAATATCCATGATTAGTGACAAAAAACTCCTTCTGCATTTCCCTCATTAATTTCCACTCCTTCCTTGGCCTCCTCTACCCCATTTTTTTCCCAGAGACCTTATCTGATAAATAGATTTTAAAGAAAAGTGTTTGATCCTTGTTAAGAATGTCATGCATGACATCAGTGATGAATAGACCAGATGACAAAAACATGCTTATAGCAGCTCCCCATAGCAGCCTGCCTGACTTTGTCTCATGGGAAGCCAGGAATTGCTTCTGCTCTGTCTTTCCATTAGTGTCCAAAGGAGAAAGCCGTCTCATTTCCTGCAGGGATTTTCATAAGTTCACTGGCACTTGCTCAAGGGATCCAGTGATTCCTCTCATCATCCAGCAGAGTTTACCACATCCTTTCCTGAGCCAAAACTCCTCCTCTGAGATCAGTTATTGCAACCTCTGCGAGGTGAACATAAATGTTACGTACCACCACAACCTCCATAAAGCCATGCTATTAGGCACAGAGCTTATTCTTTATGAATCTTTAGAAACATATGTTCCGTTGTTCTGTAATATATATGTGAAGTATAGTGCATCACAGTGAGTGTATTTGCTCTTGGTCATTTCTGTTCTCTGTAGATATGAGATTTGCAAAAGAATATGGAATTATTAAAAAGTCCTGAATGTCACTGTTCACCCACAGAGGATGGTAGATCGGAGGTGCTAGGCAGCAGAAGCTTTTGGGTTTAGCTTTGAAGTCATTGTAATTCAGCAAAGCACTTGTACAAATAGTTCATTTCACATATGTTTTTTAATCCCTTTCTATTCGGAAAAGCTTTTAGGAATGTGCTTAATTTTAAGCTGCGCTCTGTAAAATTCATGTAAGCTTAGGAGCTATGGAGAAGTAGGATGTAAATCACAGGGTAGAAGGAGGAAGAGGAAAATGGTAAACGGTAGTAAAACAAAGAGGAGGGCAAAATATTAAAGAACTTTTCCTTTTTCAATGACTTTTCAGCATAAATTGGGATGAAGTACAATTATTTCTTTTAATCTATGATGATACTTTATAGAAATATCTCTTCCTGGGAAACCTTTCCACTTTCAGAGGCAAATTGTATAATACATAATTATGCATTGCTTTTATTCCTTTCTGATGAGCATGATAATTTGGGGTTTTTTTGTGAGAACTAGCCAAGTGCTTGCTCTGGGAATTGAAGTCTTCTGTTAAGCTAGGTCATTTTTGCAGACTTCTTCACACTTTCTTAGTAGCATGACTTGACCTTGACCATGACATTTCTTGTTCATCCCAGGGCTACCCTGATTACTCTGAGAGTTGTGATAGAGTTTTGCTGGCATGTCAGCCAGAGACTAAATTAGGGCCCCTAACTCACTGAATATAGGTCATCAAGCAATTGTGTAATGTGTGATAACAAGTTATTTCCTTGGCTTACTGTTGACTTGAGTTCAATTTGCACCTGAATAAGAGCTTTATGGAAATGATCCAAAAGCCACTCTAGTCAGCACGCAGCTTTTTACTGACACTAGTGGACTTTCTAGCTGACCTTGCACGACATTATTAACGCCTTAAAGCTGAGTGGTATTTCACTCCTTTAATTATGTTTTTTCTGTCAGTGAAGAAGGCGGCACCTTGTGAACGCAATGTTTCTACAGTGGGATTTTGCACTTCTCTCTGCTACTCTCTTTCTCTGTTTTCTGTATGCAGTCTCTAGTTGGCTTCACTTTCATCTTTGGCAGAGCAAACAACTCAAAAACATGTTCCCTTTTGCTTTCACTGTTGTTTTTGAAGAGGTTTTTCATCTTGTGGGACTTTTCTTCTCTGAGTACTTTGTCTAATATTGGTGTCACAACCCACGCTGTTCCTCCCACCTACCTACCTACCATTGCTCATGTGCCCACTCTTCTAAGAAAGGGTTTTCATTATTACCAGTGTTTCTTTTTATATAAGGAGTAACTTTTGAGCAGCATAACTGTGTCATATCTCCTTTACGTAATAAAAATTTATTTTCCTGTTTTTGCTGAGGTTTTTTTCTTGTTCTACCTTACAATCTCCCTCCTACAATATTCCTCCTATGCCATGGTTTCCATGTGGTTACAACACATGTGTCAAATGCTGTGGCACCATTCTGAATAAAGCACAGCTTGCTGTGATCTTGAAATGCACACCTCCGCTGCTGCACTCTCATTATCCTACCAGGAAGTAAGTAGCTTTTTCTCTCTGTCTTTGCTGGCAGTATCCTCTTGGAGTTTAATCCTTCACAGTCTAGATAAACTGATCCGGCTCAAAAAAAGTGGCATTTTCTTGCCAATTCCTGAAAAGTGGCAAAAGTTTATCTTGCACTTGTAACCAGATGGAAGATGGACTGGTTCGCTAACTTCTAAAGAAGGTGCAGGCAACAGATAACTGACATTTCTATTACAGCTGAGCTTGATTCAGGACATATTCCTTCACTATCTCGATGTATCCTGGTTATGTTTAGCCTCATTTTTGTTGGGAGAAAAGTATGCAATTACATTGTCTACTCACATGCCAACCTGTCACTTCCACCTCCCAGTAACTATTGAATCCTTTGGCCAACTTCAACCAAGTTTGCTAGAGAGACCGAAGTCTGCAAGACATGAAGTTCCAGCAAAGTTTATGAAGATCTGTAGCTGGATAGGGCAGAGAAAGATCAGCAGCCGTCCCTTACGATCTCTTGAAGGAGTCTGGGCAAAGTAGCTGGTGAGTCAGGACAAGACATAATTTGATGGCAGCACTTTCCTAGCCTAAAAGATGAAGAATGAAAGATGGAGAGAAGGAGAGAAGCCTAAAAGATGGAAAGGACTGGAAAACTCTGTTGAGGACAAGAGGTCTAAGAGATGGATCCTGTTACCACAGTTTTTCTACTTCATTCTGCCCATTTCCTCTTCTCCACTGCACGCACACTCACTGCTTAAAATATGGGTTCAGATTTCACTTCCTAACTCAAATTGCTGCTACTGCAGGGACTTCAGCCACTTGAGTCTTCTGCATTTCTTTTTTTTTATTATTTTTTCTAAAATACTACAGTACTTAATGGTAATACATTTGTGGACATTTTGCATGGATTTTGGGTTATATACAGTTGCAGAATTGTTCCTTTGAACTCATATTTGATCATACAAACTTTTTTCTGAGACAAGTTGTACTCTCTGATCACCAGATTTTTGATAATTTCAATGATCTTGATACTTTAGAGATGCATTTGTAGAACTGATGTAAAAAGGAGAGCAGGAAGAACATAAATGTTTTTTTTCTTAACAAATCAAGGTATTTTAATAGGCACATCGTGTTTTTCCAGTCAGCTGTGACTTGGAGAAACACAACTATAAACACTACAAACACTTTTTAATGGGCAGCAAATTACACCACTGATGATAAAAAGAGTATGTGAGCATACAAGCAAAAAGCATTAGGCTTTTCTCCTTTTTATCCCATAGTAAAGAATTCATCTGTATAACTTCCATCATAACTGTATCTTCCTGTGATTACTACATAGATGAGTGATACTTAGAATAAACCAAACAATTCCTAACTTTAAACTTTATCAGAGACATTGCCAAAATAATATCTATCTCAAAATATGTGCATGTTATTTGTGTATACCCAGGCTTGTATTTTTTATGTGCTAATAGCATAAGTACTTTCTACTTGCATGTTTATAGGAATCTGAAAATAAAATTGTTTTGTAAAACCTCTGTGCCATTTTTCGTAATATCCTATAGAATAACAGTAAATGATCAGGCTCAATTAAGAGGCAGAATCTGGTAGAAAACTTAATAACAGTGACAAAAGCAAGAAGAAAGAGGTAGATCTTATTTATACATCCTGAATTCCAACTTTTCATCACCTGTCTGACAACTGATCAGGTCAATTTCTGGAGGACAAGTCTTCAAGCTAGGGTCAACCTATATTACAAATCAAATCTTGACAGAGTCCCAGGACCAGCTTTGCTGGGATGACTTGAAAAAAGAAATCCAACCACCCCATTGTTACATAGTATAAGACATTTTGGATAGAAAATCCTCTGATCCTTGTAAAAGTCAGAGAAATTACGATCAAAATAGTTTTATAATCTGCAAAACTCCCAA